ATCCCAGCTACTCAGGAGGCTGAGGCAGGAGAATTGCCTGAACCCAGGAGGCGGAGGTTGCGGTGAGCCGAGATCGCGCCATTGCACTCCAGCCTGGGTAACAAGAGCGAAATTCCATCTCAAAAAAAAAAATAAATAAATAAAAAATAAACATCTGATAGGGCAGTTACGGGAATTAGGTGAGATACACAGCGCACTTAGCATTGGGCCTAGAACATAGTAAGTGCTCTATCTATGGCTACCATTATTCATATTTTATTATTGTAATTCCTCCAGTTATGTAAGGCAACATTTGTGACCCTTTCCAGAGGGAGGGCTTGGGGCTCAAATTGGCCCTGCAGGGGAGGAGTTCAGAGGAGGGAGGCTGTATATGGAGGACTTGGGGAAGGCTTCCTGGAGGGGCTGACGTTGGCCTCAGTGCCTTGCAGGATGGGAACCAACAGAGGTGAGGGAGAGGGTAGTTTGAGCAGAGGCACAGAGTTCAGTCTGTTTCCCTCTTTGTCCTGGAAGGGTCCTCCTTAGCGGGCCTAATGTTCTCTGGGTCTTATAACCCTCACTCCAAGAAAAGGCATATGCTAGAAGCTCAAAGAAGGCAGTGCTGCTCATTCAGGCCTTCACACTGATGCAGGTTTCTCCTCTTTCCAGTACCTGATGCCCTTTCTCCTCAACCAGTGTGGCTCTCTTCTCTATTACCTCACCTTGGCATCGACAGGTGGGTCCTGGCTTGGAACTGTTCTGCTTCGTGTTCGAGGCCACCTGTAAGAGTGATTTGTTGGGTGGAGCTTGAAACACCTCATTCCCATCAGTGAGAGAGGGCTGACTAGCCTTAGTTCCCTCCTAGTGTCCTCTTCTCTGAACAAGAAGGGCACAGTGGGCTGGTTCTGAGTATGGTGCTAGGCACTGGGGTTGGTTTGAAGCCTGGCAGTCTTGTGTGACAGCGGACGAAGAGGGAAGGTTCATTCTGCTGTGCCAAGTGCTGGCTTTCACACTCTTGGTTCCACTGTGTGCTACCTGCCTGACCATGAGCAAGTTCCTCATTTGAGCTTTGGTTTTTTTGTTTTTTTTTTTTTTTTTTTTTTTTTTTTTTTTTTTTTTTTTTTTTTTT